TACGCCAAATGACCGACCATTTAAGCTCTCCTTTTTGTGTGTAAATCGATTGTAGCCGTCGGCCAGTCGTGTAAATAAAAACACCATAATTTCATTCAATGCTAAATATAATGCGATTTTCCCCAAAATCGTTCTCAATTTCGCTTTCTTTAAGGCTGTCATTAGATTTGTGTTTCAAAACTTTGTTTTTACCAAAAGTGAATTCAATTATTTTGAATGTTGTTTTTAATATTGTTTATGAAAGCATTTAACGGTAAAGAGTTACAAATATATGAAAAATTTTGTTACCTTTTATCTTAAATTTGATGCTTTCAAAAATAAAAACAATAATTTTGCAAAAATATATTAAATAAATGTTTACAACATTTAACATATGAGTGATTTCTTTCAATTTAAATCTACTTTCCTTATAGATTATACAAAATTATTAAACTAACTATCGATTGAATAATCAAACGATTATTATATCATATAATGTGTACATAACCTATAATTAAAGTTTTAACAATTATGAAATACGTTTAGACCTAAAGTGCCAAATATTTAAACTTGATTTTAAACAAACAATCTTTCCTATAGAGTCTTCATAGTTAGCTTTTAATTGCATTGATTTTTTTGTATAAAAACTTGAAAATTTTATAAGTGAATAACATTTTTAAGCTTTTATACAACAAAAATCAATAGAAATATGACTGCAGATTCTGTTAATCAGATTTGCAAATTGTGATAAAAATCACTACCGCTATAACTTGTTCTGTAAATTAAGTTAATATTTTTTAATAAACACTATTTTTCTAAAATGCTTTTTCTTATCAATTGATTTTATTTTAATCATTAGTTTATTGTCTAAATCTTTCAGATACAGTATAATGTTTTAAGTGTCGTAAAACCTATTGCTTACGATATGATTGTCTGTAAATATGATTCATATGATATGAAATACCTTTTGGAGCAATAATGAACAAAATGAAACATTTTATGAAATCAGTTTTATTGTATGCATTTGTTATGTACTCAATAAAAGTGTCAACTGATCCAAGAAATTAGGACCTCATTTGGCGAAGAGTTCACATCCGGTCAAAATCCAATGGGTGTCGACTCACAGTAATTCAAAGAAGCATAAAGTGTGGGAAAATCTTAAACAATTTACTGGCCATCGATAAGGCATTGAATGTTACCGTCATCTCTACATATTCTCTATATATGGTTGGACTGCAATCCCTACCAAAGACCGATCGAAAGGTATTTTGATTTAAGCGGACGTTTCGTTAAATATAAAACTTACCGAATATAACATTATTTGAATAAATTTTAATTGTGTTAAGAAAAGCAAATATTTAATTACTTATTAATTGCATATTTTTATTATTTATAAAACTTTCGTAAAATCAATATTTTATATCGTTTATTAAAATCAAAGTAAACATGTTTTTGAAATAAAATTTTTATTGAGTTATGTTAAAATTTCTACAGGAATTTTCTACAAGAATTTAAATACAATAAACAAACTTTTAAAATGATAACATATGCGGTTAAATATTGAATGACAAAAACATTCACACAATTTATACCAACTTTTGAACTGAGGTGAAAATAAAGATCATATTTGACCACAACTTAATGTTTAGCACTTTATCCAAAATGAACTCAATTTTCTCAATATATATATTAATTATTAATATTTAATATAATAATACAACAATTATAGTTTAAATATGAAATAAACATTTATAATAAGCTATGATAGAAGTGTTGAGGGGTTATCCGAATGACAATATGGGCTCCAATTCCTACTAAATAATAGACAAAACAAATAAATTTAAATTATTATTTTAAAAATAATTTAAATAAAAATTAATTAAATCTTACATTACTATCAAACGGATTGATTCAGAGTTTTGTGTCCATTGTTTTTGCAATCATTCAGCGATGGGTCGGATAATTGAAGTGAGAGGTTGTCGAAGGAGGGGAACCAATATTTCGGATGACAATCTTAGGAGAGTATCGGCGCGGGTCTGGAGTTATCACCGAATAGTTCTTTTGATTGTGATTATGATGACTGCTGTGATGGTGACTCCCACTATGGGAGACAGACCGGTGTCGGGAACTGTTCACCTGATGATTACCTGACGTCGTATTACTTGATATAACCGGTGAAGAAATGGATCGATTCTTTTTGTGTTCAGCATTAGGTCTCTGTGCAGAAGATCCGGAGCTCGACCTGACGTCTTGCGACGACTGGGAGTTCATTATTTTGAACGACTGGTACTGTTGTTTGGGTGTCGAGGCTGTGGTGAAAAGACCCCTATGTTTGTCGAGAACCGCTGGATTGACACACTGTTTGGGTTTGGAGGGAGGGATGTCATAAATAGCGCGAACTGGCGCTGGACTCGCTCTTTGCTGTTGTCTATCCTTTTTAGTAGACATCGACAGATCCAACGGTCCATTAGTTGAAGAATTGGGTTTAGTTTCGTTGGAAACGCTCGGATCACTCTCTGACTTAGGACTAGGAGTAGGTGTGGGTGGAGGAGAGGTTAGGACAGCAGAGTTTGCGGATAATGTAGTGCCGGAAGTGATACTAATCGCCAATTTGGTTGATATATGGGATGGAACTCTGGATCTGACTGTTAACAGAGGACTCGATGCAGATCTGAGGGACACATCATTGCTTTCAGATCTCATGGAGTGCTTGTCCTCAGCCTTGTCTTTAGCAGTAATGATATCATTCTCACAACTGTCCTCATTAGGCATATCAACCACTAGTTTCATGTCGTCCTCGTCATCGTCTTCTTCTCCATTACTATTATTGCCTGAATTGCTGTTAATTCGCAAAGAGTCGACACTTTTTGTGTTTTCGCTCTCTTTTTTAACAGTTTTATCCTTAATTTCATTAAGCGATTCATTAGCACTGGTTTTAGTAGTTTTGCAATCGCTGTGAGAGTGAGTGATCTCTGAAGCGCTAGAACTGGATTTGGATGAGGAGTTAGCGCTTGAATTTGAAACATCTCTTTTCGTTTCGCATTTATTATTGATTTTTTGATGAGCGCTCTTATCCTTGGGAGAGACCAGACTCTCAACGCTGTGAGTCTTGGTTGAGATACGTATCACTAAATTACCCGAATTAATGCCAGAACTGGTCACAGATTTGACGCCACTCTCGGTGTGAGTGGAAGAGCCGACGAGACCGGTCTCGCCGGTAGTGGTGTTCACTTTATGGTCGTTGCGATGGTTAGGCGTAACCGTATGGGAAGTGGAGGTGAGTTGTGTACTACTGGTGCTATTGTTAGTCAATTGAAGGGTAGGAGTACTGCTGGTCACGTTAACGCTGGCGCTCTTCGCCGTAACACCAGATGCTATTTTACTCACTATTTGATTAATAGACGCGCCTTTCGTTTTGTTAGACGACTGACTTATGCCTGACTTAGAGAGTGAGTGATTGGAAATGTGTTCAATTGGTTTGTGGAGTTTGTCTGTCGTTGTCGTTATCCGTGGATCTGATAACTGCTTCTTAGCGTCTGATTCTTCGATCGATTGTTTTTGTACTTTATGTTTGCCGTCCGTCTGAATGATTGAAGCCGATGGGAGAGCCGCCGATTTGGTACAACTCTTGTTAGTGGATGTGGTCTGCGGTGGCGGCGGAGAAAGTTTTATCCGAATGGGTGGCGGCGATAATGGATTTGATTGGCGTTGAGTTGGAGTGGACTGTGTTTGTGAACCACTCTTTAAACCATTTATTGGTTTTGCGGCTAATATTTTGTTTGTTATGTCAAATGCCTTATCTCTGTTTGTGTTGCAATTCTTCACTGATATATCGTTTAGCGATTGTTTCATAGGTTTAGCGTTGGTTTGCTTAAGAGTGGCTGAATTGGTGCCACTTTTGCACTGATTTTTGACCGCATGTGAGGGACTGGAGAGCGAGCTCTCATGTGTCACCTCTCTATCAATAGGTGCGCTCTTAGTGTGTGGTCTCGACGTTACCATTGATTCCTGTTTTGAATTATTAGTAGAGATGGATGTTATCGACGAAGGAGTCGATGATATTAAGCTCTGACTTGTATTAAGTCTATTGCGGTTCACATCACGACCTTTTGATTGCTTGACTGCTTGTGAAGCGCTCTTTGTATCAGAGGTGCTGTTCTTGTGGTGAATATCCTTTGAATCGTTGCCTTTAGTGAACTCATTGTCACTAAAGAGCTGTTCTGTGGTTCGATTGTAGGGAAGTGTTGGAGATTTAGTGCCAATAAGTGTTCGGACATCAAATGCTGACGATTTACGGCTTGTATTCCGTTTTGTGGTCACACTATCACTGCTGGGGTTAACACTTTTGGTATCCTTTATATCCTGTTTGGTCGTTGTTTCAGCACTTAATCCGGCATTAATTGCAACGTTTGGTTGGCTTTCGGATGCGTTAGTCTTAGAGACGGGACCAACACTTGAAGAAGAGCTGAGTTTACTCTTATCCGTATTGATTCTGCACTGACGGAGACTATTCACTGTGGATGTGGTGCTCGTATTGGAGGGCAGTATTGAAGCGCTGGTTGTGTTGGCAGTGATAGCACTGTTAGCCTTAGCGATGGGCACCGGTTTGGGCGTCAGTGCACTGTTTGCCGGCAATATTTTTCTCAATTTCTTCGGCGGTTCATCCGTTTGTAGAGCACTGGCGCTCATAGTATGCGTTGATTTAGACTTTAATATCCCCGGAGGTGTAGTAGGGATAGGGATTGTGTTTGAGGCGCCTTTCGCTGTATCCGCAAGTTTGGGCGTAACAGTAGATCCCTTGCCTGATGTCACGCCATTTGCGCCACTATTGTGTGCCTTGAGTGGCGCTGTTGTGGGCACTGGAGCCGCACCTGTCATTATGATAGTGGATGTGCTGTTCTGTGATGAGCGACTGGATGCTGGATGTGCACCGACTAGTTTGCTTTGACTCACACTCGCATTATTATTATTGTGGTTATGGTTATTGGCATTACTTGTGTCACTGTTAGCACTGTTAACACTGCCTCCACTCCCACTCTTAGATTCAATGTTTAGTGGATGTGTTGTCTTCAATCGCTTTATCGGTCGTTCACTTATGCGATAAAACAGACGCATCGGATCGCTCTGTACAGGGGTTTCAGTTTTGGGGGTCATTAACAACCATTCAATACAATGTATAGTATTTTCGATATTAAGTTTATATTATATTTTGACAGACAATTGGAGCGAATATTTGGGAAATCATTGATAGGAATGACAGTAGATTCAGAGAGAGAGAGTGATCTCTGAAGCGCTAGAACTGGATTTGGATGAGGAGTTAGCGCTTGAATTTGAAACATCTCTTTTCGTTNGAGAGAGAGAGAGAGAGAGAGAGAGAGAGAGAGAGAAGGAATGTGAGAAATAATCAATAAATGCAATCCTCAGATAGACGTAAGCGTAAGACTCAGGCATTAACTCGACTGTCAATACAAACGCATACAATAGAGTGCATAGAATGGTTAGCACGATATGTGTGACAGCTTGCCCTCAGACACACATCCCTCTCTCCCTTCACTACCCGGTGCTAATGTGTGAGATATACTGTACTGTAATATGCCCTTGCTACAATCTTGCTACATGCTTGCTATACATTGTCATAACTTATAATACAAGTCTTGTTACATATTATTACTCCTTATATTAGCAAAGAGAGGAACGGGAGGGGAGAGAGAGAGAGAGAGAGAGAACAAGTGGAGAGCATTGAAGGGACAGACAATGCGGCAAATTATGAAAGAGAGGCAAAGAAGCGTATGAGACATGACATACCCTTTTCCAGTCGTAAATGTACGCCACGTCCATAAGCGTAATGTCATCGCTTAGGATGTCCTCCAAATACATCACATCCACTCTATAGGTTGTCGGCAATCCATACTTCTTCACAATGAACTTCTTGAGGTGCAGAACAGACAGACCGGCCGGACATAACAAATAGCGTTTCATAGACTCTGCCTCAACGCCCAGACTCTCAGAGAGACTGTGTTTCTCAGCGCTGGACGTATTGCCAGCACTGGCTTTATATCCATTTTCAGGCGTTTGGTTCTCTCCGTATCCGTATTCAAGAGATAAACTGATTTTATCGTTCGCCATATAAAACATGCGGTGATCGACCACTTCTCCCCTGTCCTCAGCCGATACGGGAACCGCTTCTGTATTTGTCGTGTAATAATCACGTCTTCTATGCATTTCGTTTTTGAAGACATCGGGTATTAGTTTATAGACGATGTCCTGCAATATCTTATCAGATCTGATACTGAGGAGTGGTTTAGTTCCGTGGACTTGTGTCTCACATATTGGACAGCATTTGTTTGTTAGCAAATACTTAACAATACATGATTTGCAGAAAGAGTGAAGACATTCACTAATAGTGGTCGCGTCGATGAAATAGCCATTGCATAGAATGCATGTCAGCTCAGCGTTTATATCGGAAAGTCTGGGTCTTTTATATGTCGGTGGTTTACCCCCCGGACCCCCCGCCTGCTCTTGAGTGCTCGTTTGGCGCTCAGATGTGTTGTTTCGTTCACTTTTGTACATTTCGTTTGATTTTTCCACAGTTTTTGGGCTTAAGATGAGAAGCGAAACCGAATCTACAGTAAAAGCAATAGATTTGAGTGAAACTGTGTTTCTATGGAAACAATATTGAGTTATACTGTTATACAGTTATGCAGCACAGCATCAGTGCCTATGAATCGCATTGCACTCGCATTTGCACTAAAATTACACAACATGTAGAGTACAGTATAGTTAGAGAGCAAAGTAGTGTACAGTGAAAGCGATGTACAGCTGATGCAGTAGTGCTCGAGAGTAGACAACAGTCGGTGCACTAACTCATAGAGAATGGGAATTAGTCGACAGGAATCAGATAGAGATAGACAGTCAGTCACTGATGCCGGAGAGTGTGGTGGGCTTTAAGTACACATAGACTACACTTCACTAATGCATACTTTTATATATTATATCCTAATCGCTATAAATGCATATTTATATCTCAAAGCAATGCAAGATTTTGTCCATTAATACCCAATGCAATGCAATGCTCTCCCTTTCAAATATGAAAAATTAATTCAATGCAAATTCTAATGATTTTGTATTTTAAAAATACTTTTTCTAAAAATATTCAGCGATTTAAACGCTTAGGAAATAAAAATATATTTGATTTTTATCAAAAGTGGGTTATTTCGTGACTTCATTTCAAAGTCCAAACAAGCAATCGTTTTCCCCGTTTTCCCTCTTAAGTTAAGCTCATTTTTCTTTCATTTGTATGGTTTCATAGTCTTATTGAAGTTTATTTTGTATTATTATTGGTTCCACTTTAAGAACTTCCTCCTCGACTCCACACAGCATTGCAAACACCAGTCAATGCCTTAAGCATTACTGTAGACATAGTTTTCCTCATTATAAAAGAGATGCCATAAAAATCACGCTTTGCTTAACGGATCGTAAAGCGAGGCATAAAAAACAGTCTCAACACAAGTGACATATTTTTAGAAATACTAAAAATACTGTAAATTCCCGTTTAATCATATATTTAGCGGTGTTTTATATATTATATAAAATATTGCATAAATTGGCAAAAATATATATTTTTCAGATAAAAAACATAATAAACTAAAAACTATGCTTTGAGTGAAGCCCTCGACAATTGAAAGCAAGTTTTTCGTGAAACTCATTCATTCATTCAGTTTTTCATTGATAGTGATATCGTAATCGTAGAGCGCGTGCGCACTCGTAGGTCAGGGTTTTCTGCAATGTTTTCGTTGTGTAAGTGATTGAGAGAGCATTGGATGCAATGTTTGAAGCGATTTTGGTTTTGCATTACTATTGTTGTAGACCTCCTGCCTTGTAATACCATCTCAGATATGATACCACCAAAGTTGCTATAACTCACAACTCACTCATTCACCCGATCCACACACTCACCAATACTCCACTCTCAGAGCAAACACTTCCGCTAAATATTTTTATTTTTTTCTTTCTTTACTTTTATTTGTTTAAACACTTGAGGGAAAAGAAAAGTTTATATATTTCTATTTTTAATTGAGAAAAGAAAAGTTTTGAAAAGAACGCAAACGCGAGTGAATGAGTGAGTGAGTGAGAGAGAGAGAGAGAGAGAGAGAGAGAGAGAGCACGAAATGAGTACTCAAAACTATAATTATGGTTTTGGTTGACCACAGACTCGACACATCTCACAGATGTATGCAAATGACAGATAGGAATATACGGTATGTGTACTGATATACTGTATAGTCATTCATTCATTTGCCAATTGAGTACTTTTCAGGAGCTTTTTGTTGCAAATGTCGGCCGCAATTGGAGACGACGTTCAGCACAGCATTTAGAGGGGGAGAGAAACAAAAGTTTTCAATAGTTTTGTGATCACTGATGCACTGGTAGTGAGTTGTGGAGAGCAGACACATAGACAGCACAGACACCTGCCTTTATTCTCACTCAGGGATTCAATGTTTGGTGCCTACGGGGGCTATAGTTTCTCCATATATATAATGCATAACTTATTACTGGTATATTCCGTACCCTAACACGAGTTCGCTTTAATACCAGCGCTTAAACACGTGATTCATTCAATTAATGCTATTATAGGAAACATTACATTTGCCACTCGTTTTCCTTTTCGCTCGATGTCTAAACTCATGGCACGAATCCAAAATGAAAAGTAAAAAAAACTTTTTAAATGACTGATAAGCAGTTCTGCTGTCCAGACATTTTAATGATATTAGTTTTGAACAAACCATTAGTTTATAAATAAAAACTCATCAAACAGTCGATTGTAATGATATTGAAACGATTGGGGAAATGCCTTCGAGGTATCGGTGATACTAAGCACACAATTTGGTCAAAAGTACCACAACTAGGCTCTCGTCGCACAATTGTATGGATATGATGGGTATAATGTGGCGTTCAGTGCTTGACAGCCCTTTAACTGATGGTGTGTTTTGGCTTATTTTGAGATTTGCTAAGAAAAACAGCAGTTGTGGACGGAGTGGTGCACCCCTTATGCCCCCCACTGTAGCTCTCCTTAACTGCTTATCTGAAACTCCCATTTCATAGGAATTGATGTCAGGCTTTAGTATTGAAAATGACAAACAACTGCAACACTGCGACAACTCCGCCATTACCTCGATATTTGGAAAATTTTAAAATTTAAATTAAAGCCAAAGTTTTATGCGATCGCACAGTCAAGTCATCTCATTAGGAGTTATGGATCCAAACGATTGCTTACTTTTATGACATGACTGAACGCAACGAAACGCATTGAAAATTGCTTATAATGACAGTTACATTACTGAATGTTCACATATAAAGCACCAGTGACTCCAAACTTCGCTCGACATCTCTATCTTGTTGTGCGAAATGCATAATACAATCGCTAACTTTGAAGGAATAATCGATTTTTTCTTCTCACACACAAAGAATCGCCAAAATTACTGCTACTTTCACCAAATAGTTGCTTACGTTTTGCCATCATTTCTCATTAAGCCTTAATATTGCTTCCAATATGAGCTCATAATCCCAATCATTATAATAGACATTCTTTTGTAATTCTAATGCTTTTATGATTTTATAATTTGAAAACATTTTTCAAAAATTTAATTCTAGACAAACAATTCATTGGGAGTTATCGAGAACGACATATGAATTATAATATCGTTCACTGTTTAAACATTGTGTGAATGAATACGATAGACAGCGGATATGTTTATTTGAAATTATTTTGTTCATAAAAAGCATATAAAAAAGGAGTCGACAAATACAACGCGAATTCTCTATAAATAAAAAATGTAACTTTTTTGTCAAATATTGATAACGAATCGAGAAAATGATTGCTTTATACGGAGAGTGAGAGGGGATAACCAACTATGGGCTCAAATTATACCTCAGGATTGGAAGTGGACTCTTAACTAATTAAACACATAACACATCCGCTCAGAGGGAGTGCTGTTACATATGATAGACCAGAAGTGATCTACAGATCGGTGTCGTCTCAGATAATGTTCAGTTCAATCAACTCTCTTAACAGAGAAAAATATTTCATTTCAATACAAATTTCTTTCATTTCACAACTAATTTTGTATCAAATTTAAAGAATCGTGTCTAATATAACTCTCAAAACTCATAGCATTAACTGAATAGTACTGTAAAAGCAAATAGTTTTTGCGGAGTTTCAAGTTATGAATGAGTTTATATCAACCATTCCTTATGTATATTGAATTTACAATGAGATCCGAGAAGAGCTTTAAAAACTATACTTTCATATGAAATATGATATGAGATGACAATAATATAATAATAAATATTCGATAAGAAGTGTAGCGCATAGTAACAAAAAACGTCGATTTTTCCATTCAGTCAATGCAGTAACAGCTATGAGAAGATTGTACGCGAGAGCCAACACTTGCACTGAAGCACAACCGGTAAACGCATGCACTCAATGCCGTCCAACTGTTTAGCTCACTCTCCACTCATATCGTTTGGATTACCAAAAAAGTATTGGATTCTCTTAATCTCAGCATTAATTGTTAATAAATACCATTATAATTGTTTATATTAATGATATTAAAGTGATTATAAGTCTTGTGTATCAATACATAAGACGTGTTAAGAGAGAAGCGAGAAATTCTCATATAATCTGATCAGCGCTTCGACAGCACTAAAGCAGAGAAAGCTTGAAAGCAATGCAACACAACATTCATTCACTCATTCAATGAACACTTTTATTCAAAAATATTGATGTTTTTCAAGAAATTCTCATATAATCTGATCAGCGCTTCGACAGCACTAAAGCAGAGAAAGCTTGAAAGCAATGCAACACAACATTCATTCACTCATTCAATAAACACTTTTATTCAAAAATATTGATGTTTTTCTTCTAAATAAACATATGTTTACTATTATTACACATTATATATTTATGTCGTTATATATTAATTATATTTGTCATCAATATATGACAATTAAGCAATATTCATGAATTTAGCCCTTTTTGACGTTTCCGTACAAATGAGCTCAAAACGAAAGCTTTAACTCAAAATTTTCGCTTTCATTGAAAATTATTAATTAAATTACAAGAATTGTGTATTCAATACAATATTACACATTCTTGTGGTCAATAGACAATTATTTTAATAAAATATTTAAACTAGATTTAAAATCAAGAACAATATCTAAAAATTATCTCCGTATATATCGATTGCTTAATTTAAAGCACTATATATTCAACTAAACGGACATCTCATAGAAATACGATATATTGTGAATGAATTATCAATTTATGAGCTAAACATCAGAATAATTCAAATCTATTGAAAGGATATAATGAATGAGAGAAATCTTTTGCAAGATTAGTGACCAATTCGTGAGTATAAGACACTATGAAATCGTTAAGAATCATGTGATTTGTGTTAAACATAAGGAATGTTTCATTTGATGAAAGCTTTCAAACAATTGTATGAAACGAAACACGTATTCGAGAAGTGAACGACTATTTCATGTTTTTATACAATTCATACGATTTATACATTTGGCACAGACTAGACTTGCAACTTTTCCTATTTTTCAATTCCCTTCCCTTCCCTTTTCCCTTTAATTATGCAAAGAGGGAATCCCTTCCCTTCCCTCTACAGGCAACAGGGAATCCCTCTTTTTCCCTTATTTTCCCTTTTAATTATTTACCCCTCTTTTTCCCTTAAAAATCACAGCAAATAGTGATATAAAAGCGTGTTTTCACTAAAATACAGTGCATTGCACTTACAGTATGTTATATTGTTTTAGACACTCTTTATTTACATATTTCAATTATTTAAATACATAATTTGT